GGGGGGGATTAAAAAAAAAAAACTTTGGAACGCAACAACAATAAATGCGGAATAACTTACAAGAATGAAGGTTCTGTCTCGTAGAAACATAGAAACAGAGGCCCACGGTAAACATTCCGTTCGTCTCGTAAGCGTGAAATTGTATTGAACCGACTCCTCCTCTTTTTTTTCATATTTCCACGCTCTTTCTTGGTCATCAACGTCAGTCAGTCAGTCAGTCTCCACGTGTAAAACGAAGATACTGTACATGCATGATTGAATGATGGATGAATGCATCTGGCTTTGACCCTTGAATCGGTGAGCAGCGTCCATAAACGCATGCTAATCAAGCTCCCGAGTTTCATTGCGAATGACAACGAGAAAACAAAATACCTTGCTGCCCACGGGATACTGAGAATCTGGTCGGTCGGTCGGTCGGTCGGGAAATATCAACCTCAACATCAAATCATGTCTGTGTGTGTGTGTATACACATCATTCACATTCGAGATCATCGCAACGATAGAGAAAACGCAAATACTGTATATAATTCCGCACAGACTCGCACACGTCTCTCGATCAGACTTTAATTGAAAGTACGGCACGGTATAGCACTGTACCCTGCCGTGCACTAAACGAATCAGCGTCAAGGATCAACCCTTCCCCCAATCGCGAGTTGAGTCTGAGTCACTACTCCATTCTACCCTCAGCATCCTTCACATTCCGACGACCAAAGCAGGGCATGCATATCATCGGAAAAGATAAATAAATAAATAAATGAAACGAACGCGGTACGGTAGAAACGACCACACTGCAAAGTGCAGTACAATACAATACAATACAAACATGAAAGGGGAGGGAGGGGAAACAAGAATCATGAGGACTAATTGCACATCTGAACGATCTCGCTTCTTGCTTTTCAAATCCTGGTGGTCACGAGCGGGCGGTCAGAAGAAAATTACTCGAAAACCAGGCTCTGGAAATTAGCTCCAAAGCAAAAACGCAGCCATTCTTTCTCGCTTCAACGGTTCAAAGTTCATTCGAGAAAACCAATCGCTCGACATTTCTTCAACAGAAAAGAGGAAAATACAAAAAAAGGGAGAGAGAGAGTGCAGTAAATCGGAAAAAAGGACTTTTCCATGCTCCCATTCCCAATGATGACGATGAACATCAGTGATACCTTTCTGGAAAGTATTACACAAAAGAAATGAGAAACCGAACGTAATTTCACACACACACAAAAAATTGTAAACGTGCGATCGAGGAACGCACTTTGAACCATCTCTTCTCACTTTCTTCAATTATTTATTCAGGATTTATCCGCTATTTTTTTTTTAGCTTCCCTACAAGGAAGTGGCACAACGTTAACATATACTGTACATGAGAGTCGTTCCCGAAAACACACGCCGTCCAGGCTGGAACCCGATAATACCGTACCCTCCTCAAGGCAGGAAATCAATCGAAGCAAGCCCGAAAGACGATACACCATGTCCCATTCAGTGGTTGAGTTACATTCAATTAATGTACTGCACAGAATCAATCCATCCTCGTCATCTGTCTTCGAAGCAACACCCCACAGAAACATGCATTTGAACCATTAAGGCAACAAAAAAACAACAAGAGTAATAGTCGAAACTCAGTACATCCCAATATATTTAGCGCTTCACTCATGTAGACACGCGAAGTTGACACTGGGCTTTAAACAAAGCCAACGTTTGGAGAAGAATTTAGGGGAGCGCTCCAATAACAACAGTTTTTTTTTCTTCACCACAATCCCCAAAATGGGAGGGAACCTCAAGATTTCACAGCTAAAAATGATCTGATGCTTTCCCCTTTTATACTCAAACACCAAATATAATCGAGAAAATAAAACCTTGCAACTATATACAATGCAGTACATACAGCAGAATCTCATCACAACAAATCTAGTTTCAACAGATTTTTGCTTACAGCAAACTTTTTTCAAAGTCCCAACATTTATCCTTCAGGTTCAGGTTAAATATATCTTGTTATAACGAATTTATTTTCTACTGACTCTCGGGTTATAACAAACGTTTTCCCTAATTTTTTAAATTTCTAATTCAATTTTCAGATTTTTTTCCCCAAATTTCCAAATTTTTGGTTGCCAATTTTCCTATAATTTCCTGAGGCTCATCATCCCCAAGTAGTGGACAGAGAATGTGTCCGCAACAGAATTACACACTCAAAAATACAGGAAGTTAAAAATGGGCTACATTACCTGACTGCTGGCAGGAAGCCCATAAAATAAATGTATCCTGATTAATGTAATATCCAAGGTCTGAGGAGTTTGGAAGCAGAGTGCCTAGTTAGCCACAACAATCTGTGATAAACTGTTCTTTTCCCAATGATCTTCTGTGTTGACTTCCTAATTTCTCCAATTTTTAAATCCATTCTCAAATGTAACCATTTCGTGAAAGGCATCTATTGTTACAGATATTGCAGAGAGAGAAAAAAATCAACTACAGTTCTTTAGACAAAGTGCTTTTACTGATGAAGTGTATTTCTGTTAATTAATCCATCAATCTTGATATAATGAATTTTGTATTACAATGAATTTTTTTCCAGATCCTCGGAGTTTGTTGTAATGAGATTCTACTTATACATACAGTATATTTATATACAGTGAGAGCCCCGCATGCCTACAACTCAACATGAGGACAATTCAACATAGGGACATATATTTTTTCAATGGAAGGGACATAAAAAATGCCCAACATATGGACACTGACTTGACATGAGGAATGGCATGATAAAATGGTCAATGAATTTTCAAAAAAATTGACTTTTATTCAGCATGATTGCAAGAAACATATTTCCAACCCTAAGATTTAAGAATTCTTTGTCATTTTTCCCATCCATTCAGTTAATAAAAAAAAATTTACCTATTGCTCAGAGGGACTTCCTTCTCTTTGTGACCTTATTTTTTTTTTGTAGATGCCAACATTCCAATATACTATACAGAGGTACACTATTCAATGCTCCAAATGTTCCTATTGAGAAGAAAATACTATATATTCACTGAATCATATTCATGTGGCGAACCATTTTTTTCATGGAATTCTGAAGAATATTTCTTCCATAAAACATCAATTAAAAAATGATATAATGTAAGTCCATGGGAAAACAAGACTCTACTTTGATACACCGGTGATGCACCAAGTACATCCGCATCTGAGGGTCTCACTGTACAGTATATACATAATGAGGACCTCGTCATTTCCAATGACCAAAGCAGGGGAGGAGACACAGTTGACAACAGACACACAAGACACATGTTTGCCCATCAAATACTGCGCTCAAGGAAAAGTTTCCCACGCACGCATTATTGTACTGTACTACGCTAGAGTAACTCGTACATTAGACAACATCATCATCAGCAGCAGCAGCAGCAGCAGCAGGAAGCGTACACTGCATATAAATCGTCTTCAGTACGGGTACTGAACTTTTGAGTACAAAATACCACACAGGTTTTCCAATAGGAAACCTGGGGCATGATTCAACACGTGTGAAATAGTGAATGAATGAGTGAGTGGGTGGGTGGATGGATGGGTGACTCAGAGAGGAATAAATAAAGGAACAAGAGAGAGAATGAATCACAGGAATGATTTCTGGAAAATTCACGACGGGGGCCAATTTCTGCGAGAAAAAAAAAAACATCCCGTGGTTCCTTCTCTCGTCTTATTCACCACCCACAAGTGTCCGCATATCGCCGCCCTTGAAAATAACAAGAAGAAGAAGAAGAAGAAGAAAAACAGAGGAAACCCCGAGGAAATGCCCTCCCCACAACTCGACCCACTTTCATGTCGTCGTCTATTCCGGTTTGACCGAAATGGGAAACCCAGCCAGGCTATATCCATCTCCTCTCCTTCTCTCACACTCTCTCACACACACACACACACACACACACACACCACGGAATCTGAAGAAGGAGAGAGAGGAGAACCCGGTGTGGAAAAAGCCAACGCCGTGGTTTCACCAACAACCAAACAAACAAACGAACACACACACACACACACACACTCACTCACTCTACCTCGCAGGTATGGAAAAAACCCGATACGAGAAATTTCGACGACGACGACGACGTTCGTTTTCGTAATCCTCCTTCCCCGAAACAACACCGAGTACAGTACAGTACAACACAGTACGGGACACGCTTGTGGAAAAAATGCGCAACCACGTGCGTGTGCCAGTGCCGGTTTCTGGCCTGCATCTCTGTGTGTGTATATATATATATATATATATATATATATGCATGTGTGTGTGTGTGTTCTTTACTGTACC